TAAAATAGTAATGAAATAAAAAAATTATATTCTCTTTTTTAAATGATTTATTTTTAACATTTTTAAAATTCACTTCAGCACAATTTTTTCTGAATATATATTTTTGTAAATTTTATTAGATAGTCTTGTTTTACCTCTATACTATGAAATTATACTTTATCAAATTCTAGTATTTTTATAGTTTAAATAGTACTATTTATGTGTACTATTTTTATGCATAGCTGTATAACATATGGTATTAATTAATTTTTTCTGGTATACCGGGCATAGAAATCTTAAAGTAAAATAAATGTGCATTTTTATAAAACTAAAAAAATTAGAAAAATAATAATTATTTAAATTTTCACGTTAAAATTTTTTTATATAATACATACATTTTAAAATTATTATGTGTGAATAAATTTTTTGAATTTCGAAAATTTGACGAATTTTTTTCTATTAAATTAATTTTTAATATCAATTTAAAAGACTATCAGCCATTAAAACAAATATTCTATTATTCGAAAACCAAGTTATTAAATTATACTGACATAGTCAATATTCAGATTTGCTTTGTTAAAAATTTGTTTTAGTAGAATCTCTAATTGATTTCAAGATAATAAAAATGTAATTACCTTTCATTTTTCTTGCTACTTGTGAAAATATATTTATGAACATAAAAAATTTAAAATCATTGCAAATGGAAAATATTTATTAAATAAATCTTGAGTGAAATTTTTAGTTTCATAAATTTATAATTTTATATATATAACAATGATTTATAATAAAATTATAATTTCCCATCAAGACCGTTTAATAAATATTTTTTCAAATATATTGAATATTCAATACCGAAAAATTAATTATATATTGTGTATTGTACATAAGAAAATAATATCTGTTAATTAATTTTAAAATAATTTTTGTATGGTAATCAACAAGTTATTTCAGCCATTAACCACTTTTAACCATTAATCACTTTTCTAATTAGTGAAAAAGAAAACTAAAGTATAATATTTCGTTTTATTATATTTAAAAATATATTTTATTGAGAATGTCATATAAATTAAAAAATTAAATAAAAATTAAATAAAAAATTAAGTAAAATAAATAAAAGTAGTTTATAGAAGTAAGTTTAGTATATATATGCGGGCCACATACACGCACAATTCTATTTCTTATTTGATGGGATATCTTCATAACACAATGAAAACAATAATTTAATTTTCCAATAAAAATAGAATACGTCTTTACAGATTTTTTAAAATCGGTGTTTTTATTTAATTAACTCTTATAATTAATTTATTTGTTATAAAGTATACTTGTAATATAAATAATTTTTATAAAATTTTATAAATAAATACCCAATTTTAGTTATTAATTTATAAGTATTTAATATTTTATGTATTTGATTTTAAGTATTTAATAATTCAGTTATTTACATATATTTAAATTTCATATAATGCAACTCGATTTCAATCTGTGCAGTCTTTTATTAGAATAATTACATAAATTAAATTAGATTTTCTAATAATTGGATCAAATAGAAAACCATTATTATTTTATCAATAAAATGAATACCTTTGAATATAATTTATAATTATTCATAAGTATTATTATAATTAAAATAAATCCAAGAAATAATAATAAAAATTCATTGTTTATAAGTTAGTTTCAATTTGAACTTTTTTAAATATTAAACTGTAATTAGAAGAAATTAAAAATTATATTTATAACATATTTATAATGATAAAAACATTTAAAAATTGAATAATGACCTTTATTGAGTAATGTAAACTTTTTCATTAATGAAATCAGTATCATTTTTTTATATTAAAAATATTAACTTATATAAATTTATCAATTTATTTAAGTTTTAAATAATATATAGAATAATTCTTAATAATATTAGTAATTCTTCAGTTAATTTATCTATATAAAAAATTTGTATTTTTGTATAATTGTAAAAAATTAATTGCTTTTTAATGTTGTAATATTTTATTGTCCATACTGTATATGCAAAACGTAGTTTTAATATATTCCAAATTTATAAATATTAAAAGTTTAAATTGACAATTTGAATTGTAACAAATGTGCATATTTGCAAAACGTTTATAGTATCTTTCGTTAATTGTTACAAGATACAAAAATTTATTATCTTTATGTAAGCAGAATTGTTTGTACGTAAGAAATTTGTAAATCTATTTTTAAAAAATTAATTTTTGGAAATCAACAAAATTATATTTATATATATAAAAAAATGAAATATTTTATATAGTGCATTATATCTTAAAGTAGTGATACATAATGAAAAGATTAAAAGTTATTTGCATAATTACTTAACAATGAAAGAATGTGCAAATTTCAAATTTTAATATTGAATCCCATTCAAAAATTTGTTTGATAGTACGACTAATTTTTAGTATCAGCTTTGGCGAAAATTGTGATTAATGAATCTGGCATGAATCAAATTAAATCTTTCCTTGACCCCTTTGTTATCAAACATGATTCATATAACAATTTCTTTCATTCGGTCATAATATAATTTAACAATACATTATATATTCAAATTTTATATAAATTTAAATTTTATAATTAGTGTTTCCATAAATAAAAGACAATAATATTTGATGTACTCATAATCTATTATTGTTGTTTTTACGGTCAGATAAAATAATTAATTAAGCTGAATTAATTAATATAATTGATTTTTGTTTACTCATATATTAATGAAAAGTTGCTTACTCATGAAATACTTATGAAATATGAGTATTTAGTTCTCGACAATGTTTCCATTCGGTTGTAGAAATTAATTAATTATCAAAAAATCATGATAAAAAATAAAAGGTATTTGATAATTCATAAAATTTATATTTTACCTTTGGGAAAGAATAAGAAAAGTCAATATAATAATGAGCAAATACGAATGTATTATTCTTTTACCAATATTTTTCAATTACAAAAATATGTTCAATATTATGTCATATTTTTATACTTTTAAGATTTATAAGGTTGATATAAAAATTTATAATAAACAAACTTTACTGTAATTTCGAACGTTACAAAATTATGTAACGAATATTTTATTTTAATTCACGTATATATTTTAATACATGAATATTTCTTAAGCCTCTTATGTTTAAGAATAATTAAATTTTTATTAAGAATAAAATCAAATTATAATTATTAAATATAATTTAGCTTAAAGTAACATTTATTTATGTTTAAGTAAAATCAGATTATATATAATTAGATTTATTATGTATAAATTTACAATAGAAAAATACTTTTAAAAGGTTATAATATACACATATTATTTTTTTCTGTATAAATATTCAAAGTAAAATTGTTGATATTCAAAACTATTTGAAAAAATTATCTCATATTTTTAAATAAAAATTCATATTATATTTATATATTTAGTCAAAATCATTTTAAATTTTGTAATTTCACATAAAAGTAAAATTTTTACAATATGATAAAAAGAATTTTTCAATGAAAATAATTATTGAAATGAATAATTAAAAAATGTTTACTATTATAGAATGTAGGGAATATGCAGAGCTAGTTAACAGTGTAGAAGCTTCACCGGTACTTCGGATGGATGTACAGAAAAACGTGGTGTCCAAGTGCGAGATAACTGAAACGCCTCTTATTATAGGTGGTGTTCAAGCTAAGAGTAAAGAATTCCCACATATGGTAAATATTTGGAAGTTTAAGATATTACTAACCCTAAGTAGATTGCCTTGATTGAATTCTACGAATTAATACGATTCATAAAAGTTGTTTTTTATTGTTGTCAAGTTCATACACAATATATTTCTCATATTCTAAAATATTTTTTTTTACAAATCCAAAAAAAACTTGAATATTTGAACATTTTTTTTTTATAATGCAGACTATATAATACACCTAAGGCGTATAAATTACTTACGCATTCAAGAAATAAATTATTAAACCAATTCTTTATATCAAATTCCGTTTGATATTACAAATCATTAAATATACAAGACAATTTATTAAAAATATCTAATAAATTGCATCTGTGATTTAATTATATTATCTATTATTTATTACTATAAACATTTCGCAATCAAATAGAAAACTATATTCTTCCGCAATATACACCCTTTGTAATTTTCTTTTATAATATAATGTGATGAATATATATTATTAATTAGCAATTAATCATTGATCATTAATTTATTTAATAAATATTGATATAATATAATGTAAAGTATTACGTTTTATAGATGAATTTCAATATTGTACAGGATTATAGATTCAAAAAGCAATTTCATTTTAGGCAGTATTATCTTAAAAAAATTTCTCCACTCAATTTATGAAGTAATTTTAATGGTTAATAATTCAATTTAATCATTGAATTATAAACTTACTATAATGATTATACACAAGTATATAAAATTTCATTTAAAATATAAATAAATTATTGCAAATAAACTTAAATATAAATAAAAATTGACTTTCAAAACACAATTACCATATCAAGATCAATCTTGTATTGTTTAATTGTAAATTGACTATAAAATTTCAGATATCAAACATTGTAGTTTAAAAATGTTGTAATATTTTTGGTTAAAAAAAAAAGTACTTTACACAAATAGAATGTATATAAATTCAATTAAGCGATAAACGATTTATTTTTAAATGGAAGGCCCAGTGCAAGACGCTGACCCTGATATGACATAAATTTCATTGTATATATACAAATTATATAAATTATTTATATACTTATCGGTATATAATTATAATTATGCTTTTATTGTTAATATATGTAATATAAACATATAATATGTTTGATAAAGATCTTAAATATTTTAATATTATCAATAAGCTTGTATACTAGTTAGTTTTTGAATAATTTTAAGTATAAAAGTAATGGACAAACTAAAATAGCTACAAAAATATTTATAAAAATATAAGAGTAAATATTAACGTTCTCTAACTACATTAGTTATTAGTATTTCTTTAAGTATTTACAAAGTAAAATACAAAGAATAATGCATTCAGTAATAAAAACAATGCATTTCATCTGTTATTTTTTATACCTATCATTTTACGCTTACCGTATTAATAAATAAATAAACTGCAATGATATATTTTAATTATTTAACATAAAATATACATTTTATATATTATTTCTATATTTGCGTTTCTGTAATAAATATATATTATATTTAATCTGTGTTATGCAAGGAGATTAAATAAATAAACCCATAGCAAATATTTTAGTTAATTATATTACATATAATGCTACTTTTACGTTCATATTAATATTAGACAATCTTTAAGTATATTTTTTCAAAAAAATTTATCTTTACTAGGTCGCCATTGGATTTGGCAAATCAAGTGATTCGGAAATATTTTGGGAATGTGGTGGCAGTATAGTTTCAGAAATTTTCGTCCTTACCGCGAGCCATTGCCTAGAATCCGATTTCAGGTATTTACAATTTATACATAATCCACTTAGTTTATATATTATACAAAGTATTGAATAAAAAATGTATATAAATACAAAACATGTGTTTCATAATATATTTTCTTTTTAATCTTCTAATCTAGCTTAAAACTACAATTATATTAATTTTCAATGAATATTAATATGATATTAATATTAATATTAATGAATATTATAATGAAGAGAATTAAAATAATGGTATCCTTTGTACATGTAAATACACACACATATTTTTTATTAGGCGATTAAAATGCGTTTTCAAGAAATAATATATCATAAACTAATATAAATGTGCAATTTATTTGCAAAATCATAAATCCGTTATTACAGTACATAATCATAAGATAATGAGAAAAGACTAAATTACGAATATAACGTATATTACAAATATAACATAACATATGAAGTTGATTTATAATAATTTCGCGTTTTCAGTCAAGCAATAAAGTACGTACATTTTATATAATTATTTTCAGAACATTATTAAAAAACGGAATAATTAAAATGTACAAACTTTTCATATAAAAAAAATAGGCGTAAATAAAGAAATTCATAATTATAGATTCATACGAAAAAAGAATATTACGAAAAAGTTGTTTACTTTATAACATTCTCTCATTCAAGAAGCTTTACGTTACTATAAATTAAATAACTAAAAGATTAAATTATTCTTTTAAATGATAATTTAAATACATTTGTCTATTTTTAAATATAGTTTCTATTTTGGTGTATTACAATTTCCATACTTGAATACAAATATAATTAATACTGGAACTAAACAACAAAACAGATAATCATTTATGTTATGTAATAATTTTAAATGTTAACAGGTGATTAAAATAAAAACAAATATAAATTATAAAAAACATCATATCTAATAATATTTCCCTTTTTAAAACCATAATTATATCAATATTCCTTTTAAATAATTAAACATTCTTGATTTTATTATTTACCGGCTATTTGTAATAAAACAAATTTTAAATGTGCGTTAAAGTGAACACTTTATGTTTATATATAAATATATAAATATATAAAAAATATAAAGTGAAAAACTATATTTATAACATTCATTTCTTTAGTTAAGTTTTATTTTCGTCAATTCAATATACTTATGATATATAATAGTTTTTTTTTTTAATATCTATTATATTATTTGACTTTAAATTATTATTTTAAAATTCATCTTTTTTTAGTTTTAATATAAAAAATTATTTGAGTAGAAAAAGATAATTATAATATAATTAAAACTATTATGTGCTCTTTCTTTATTCAGTAAAAGATAAAAACTGTTTTATTTTACAGTATATAATGGCAAAAAAATTTTCTCTCTTGTGTATAAGAAATGTCAATTGCGAATATAAAATATCTTGAAACGTAAAGCAATATGGTTCTATAACATTTCCGCGTGAGCTTATATAATCCATAACTTATTTCTCGTGCGTAACAATCTTTTTTTTTTCTTTTTCAACAATGACAATGCATGCATGTAAACCCGATAATAATTCAATGGATGTAAAAAATTATCTCTGAACTATCAATTTCGTTACATTCACTATTCATTCGCCATAGCATTTTAACAATTCAATAATACCTTCTATCGTATTTTCATTTTGATTTCATTAAGTATTTTATTCTCGTTTCATACCTTATCTGGTGAAAGATAACAGATGGTGAGTCAGATTGGATTTATCAAATGGATTTTCGTATGATTCATTTTCTGAAAAGTTATGGAATAAATATTTTTTTACATAATAAATAATAATATAAATAGAAAGAATAATAATAAATACATTTTTATATAATATAATAAAATTAGTTTTATATAAATAAAATTGTTTAAATATTCATCCTCTTATGCAGGTAAATATTAATTTATTTAAAGTTAAATGCATTTATCAGTAGTAAACCTATATCAAAGCTCTTCTAGCAATTTTTAGTTTTTAATGGATTCTAGTACTTTCTGTATAATAATTCATATATCATTGTTATAATGTACTATTAATATAAATCATAAAGGTAACTTAATTACCATTTCAAAGTATTAAAGAAGCCATCTATTATGACTAAAATAAAATAAAGAAAATAAAAATTAATTATGAGTAATGTACAATTTATTATATACGTACACTGTTTAGAACTCCGTTCATCCAATGGTCGATGGGCCAAGATACTTGGAGAGAAGAATACTTACAGCGTAGAAGAGACTAACACTATTATATCACAATACATCTACTCCAAGAACAATATCCACCGGTCTTGGTTTAAGATATTCCGGATCGGCTAGTGTTAGGTTTCTTAAATGCGGCCATGCCTGACGTAATGTTCTGAAGGATGGAAGCATTATGGTTAATGACTTGGAGATGTGAGCAAGAACTGTGACTGAAGATTTCGAATAATTTGATTGAAGGGTGAGTGATACAACACCTTGTGCTTGAGTTTATATAGATCCTCGTATTCCATGGATGAGGATGATGCAACTTTGACAAAGTACACCGAGCTTCTTCACTAGATTCTCTGTTACGAACGTGATTTCAGAACCGTTATCGATTAGATAACGGGTTTCTAATGTTGTCGATGATGAACTTATTTTAGCCAAGGCAGTGGCCAACAGGGTTTCAATGATGATGGTCTAGGTGGAGTGCCGATTGTACCTTCTCTTCATTTCCATGTTAATGATGAACTATGATTTGCTTAGGTTGGATTTGAGTGCTGTTCATTATGCAATAGTGTATTGTACCGTATGTAACACTTCATGCAAGTCTGTTTGTTCTTGCAAATGTACATGGGGTTCCCAAGCAGTGTAGTATAAGTGTTGTTTATTAAACTAACGCTCTTCTATCGGTTATTGACATTTCCTTGAATGATGGGCATATGGTCAACAAATGTTCTTCGTGGCAGTAGTTGCAAGTCTTGTTATACCGTTTTCCTTTTTGACGGCCCTTTGAATCAGTCTTTACGGACGACTGATAGGCTTTGACCGATATCTTTTTTGGTGAATGGGACTGAGAGTTTTGATTCCATGAGTTCCTCTATGTTCTCTATAGCCCTTACTTGTGACATTAAAAATGCTTTAAGTTGCTCAAACTTGGGGTAGGAAGTGGAGTTGCCAAGTGATCGTTCCCAGTGCGCTCTTTTTTGTTGACCGAGTTGCCTAGCGACGTGGTGGACTGTCATTCAGCCCCATGCATCGGTGATGTCTTATAAGTGTAACCCATTTAGTAAGTCATTTACGTTACTTAACAATTCTTCTACTTCATGAGCTTTTTTTTAATTGGAGAAGTGGCGAGGAGTTTTTGGAGGTGAGTCTTCATGGCTAGTCGAGAGTTTTCATATCCCTCTGTTAAAATTTCACAAGCGAGTACAAGGAAGTTATTTTGTAGTGAAAAGCCCAATATGAGTTTTGCTGCTAAGCCTTCGAGTGATTTTTTGAGATAATGCAGTTTTTGTATCTCACTGAGCTTCTGGCTTTTCAGAATTATTGATTGGATTGAATAAATCCCGGAACAAGGGCCAAGCTGAATAAATGCCTGAAAATTTCGGATTTTTCGGAAATTTCGGGATTTGAACGTCAGGAGTACAGGCCACTTTCCTTGATTTTCCCATTATAGGCAATATTTCTTCGGACTTTGAGGTTGTCCTTGTTGATTCATCCAATTCATGACATAGCCTTGTCATGGTTAATTGCGTTAAGGAGTGATACTTAATTTCTTCTCCTTGCGCGTTCTTAGTAAATTAGTCATGATTTGACAGTGATGGCGTCCATGTTATTTCACAATAGCTATGCTCCTTGTTAAATATCTGTTGTAGGTCGTCAATCAGTTCCTTTATACATAGAACTTCTTTAATGGTTGTCTCCAAATGAGATGCCGGGAACCTGTCAGTTAGCTCCTTTAATGCTGAAATACGATTCCACTGGCCTCGAGCTTTGCTCGTGTGTTCAGTAGGTAATCGTTCTTTAGTCACGCTGCGGGTTATGCGTTGTTCTCTTTCTTGATTGATAGTCCCTTCAGGATTTTTAATTGCATTTGTTTCCTTTACTTCCTTCTTCTCGTGGCTTGGCATTTACTTAATAGTGATGCAGTATGAGAAAAGAATAACAACGAAATAGTTACAGAGTTGAGGAGACTAACACTATTCTTGTTCGTTGTGATGCAGTTACCGTGTGTCCTTATGATAGGACTGCAATATTGTGATGGTGTATGATCTGAGGGTGTAGGGGCACGTCCTTCTTATTATATGGATACTGAAATAATTCACTAACTTCTACTTATCCGACTCGAAGGACTAAACTGTTTAGAACTCCATTCATCCGCTGTTCGAAGGGCCAAGATGATTGGATTAAACTATAGCCATCAGTTGCTTGGTGGGAAAAAAGACATTTCAAAAGAGTGCGGGCAAGTGGAGGGGAAGCGATTATTTCAATATTTAACACATTTTCGTTTCGTACTGTTTATTGAGTTTTACTTTGCAAACTACACAATAATGATTCTAAGTTGGTGATGAGTATCGTTGAAATCTTGCAGTTCCGTGATGGTTGCCACCTCACGTTAACATGCACTACGTGCAGAGGTAGGAGGTCGTAAAACTCTGGATCCGCTTGACGTAGTGTTCGTGGTGGTAAATTATTACACTGAGAAGTAAGAGATCGTAAATCTCTTGATACTTCTTCGTGTAGTGCCACGTGATGGTAACTTGTTGAGGTCTCCTCATTAGAAAGGTCTTGTTGGTCTTGTGCTAGACGCACTATTATTGGAAAGGTCAGAGATGTACCTCGAAACAATGCATAGGTATTGCTATGCGGAAAATCTAGTATGACGTGCGAGATCAAGGCTTTCGAATTTCCCAGAACTTTAGGAAAGTAAAGCTTTGGAAGGTTGGAGAATTTCAACCGACGTTACTATTCGAAAAACATCGTAGGACATTTGAAAGTAAGGCTTCAGTATATTTGAGAATTCTCGGAATCAAATGCTTACAAAACT